GCTAAGTTTTTGCCTTTTTACAAAATACGTCAAATAGTCGCTCTGTGCACCATTTGGTGATGTTTAATTTAAGGTTCCAATGTATCTAAGTTGGCTATGCCATTTACACATGTCAAACCATTTATTTTATTTGTCAGTTTACATAACTTAAATACTTCTAAAGTATTTCACACGTGAAAATTAGATCAGATTTTGACTCAATTCGTATTATTTAAAAAACCTTAAGATTTAGGTATTATAAACCTTATTAATACAGACACTTATTTTGTTCAGCGAATCCAAAAATGCAATAATATACAGGACAGTCCATTTAAAAAAATGCAACTCTGATACCTTTAGAGCCTTTGGGACACTCTGTACATTACAAAAATATTTTTAAAATGTGCGCTCGGTACAATTCATAAAATAATACTTTTTAAAAATCAGACGGTTTAGCCGCAAACTTCCGTGCTGTATAGCGTGAATAACCCTGTATATATAAATAATCTTTATTTCCTACAGAAAAAGGCTATCAACCCAATCTAGACATATATTTTAAAGTATTTCTCACTTTCTTAGTGACACTTTTTTTGGTGTCACTAATTCAGTTGTGAAATCTAGTTTTGATACGCATTCTTAATTGCTCCTAAATCTCGATTACTACATTTTACATTTCTGTGGGACGTATTTAGATTGCACCCTACAGAAAGTAAAAAATGGAAAACACGAATTTTGTCTTTATTTCAATTGGTACCAAAATAAACATCTGGCTATATCAGGCCTCATCACTAAAAACTTCTGCTACTACTACTTCGTAGCGCTACAGCCCCTGGTGGGTATTAAGTGAGGCCATAATTTGCCTCCATCTGTCTCGGACTTCCATAACTTCTAGATCATTCCCGATCCTGATTTTCTGGAGGTCCGATGCTATATTATCACGCCACCTCAATATTGGTCTTCCAAGTGGTCCTCTGTCCCATATTAAGCGGCCCATCCTATTCTCTGAGTGTTTTCGTACGTGTCCTGCCTATCACAACCTTTTATGAGCTTAATCAGTTCTGCCTGGTTGTATATTTGTTTATTCGGTAGCTCCGCGTGTTGTGGTTTTGGTGGGTCCGAAAATTTTCCTCAACACTTTTCTCTCGAATCTTCGAATGAATTTCTCATTTCGTACCGTAAGAGTCCAGGTTTCGCAGCCGTTTATTACCACGGGTCTTGGTCTGGTACGTATTGACTTTCGTTCTCCTAGTCACGTATTTTGACTCCAGTATATCTTTTAAGGCGTATAAGCACCTGTTGGCTGACTGCAAAATTCTTGAGTATATTTCCTTAACCTTATCTTTTTCATTCCGTGAATCCTATTAGGTCATACTCTAAAATTTTTCTCAAATATACTATATGTATAGTTTTAAGTCAGGGAGGTACTTACAGTTTTTGATAATACAGTTATAAATATGATATTGCGAAGAAACGGATAACATTTGAAAAAAAGTCTAATGTCTTGTCTAAAACAAGAATTTAAAAACCCGGTATCAAACATATAGGTTGACATTTTTAAAAAGTTGATGGTAGGCTTAAAACAAAACATAAATTCCAGATCTGATAGTATAATTTTGTAGAGAGTAAAACTTTCGAGTTCTTCGAGTTTGCAAAATACAGAATTTGGCTGTGATTTTGTTAGCAGCTCTTTGTATTCTATGCCACAATTTAAGCGAAATAATGCAATCTTTGAAAACTTTATCCGTTATTTGAGAGTAAATAGGACAATGCAGAGAATCGCATTCCGAACTTCTAGGTGGCCAAGCAATAATGATTCCACTGTCAATCAACGATTTGGAACATATGCATCTAAGTATTAGAGAAAAATGAGGTGGATCTTCCATATTCCATAAACCACACCTCTCTCCTCAAATGAAGCGGAATGTTATTTCTATCACATTTTATTTTCGCGAATTGCTAAAACTTAGCGCCCGTTAAATCTGGCTGAAAATTGATGTGTGAAATTATTGTTTTTTTGCGGTTTTGAACTGAATTTAATTGTGCAGGGTAAAAAGTTATCTCTTGTCTTATCAAAAAAGGCGAACGTCAGGAAATTTTACTTTGTCAACGCAAATATTTTTAGAATAATGACACGAAAATAAATTAAAATTACGACTTTTAATGCCATGTATTTAGAAAAATATCCTTTTTCGGATAAGATTCCAGAATCGGGATTTTCCATTATTAAGGAATGATCTTGCACCCGATTCTTTTTCTGAACAAATATATAGAAACTAGCTAGGCTATATACAAATAGGAATATAATAAAACTCAAATTTCATAAAAACGGACTTATTTTTAATATACATATATTAAGCTCAATTACATACAAATATCACATCACTTTACACCCATTCTTGTATTTACAGTGTTCAATTTTTAGAGGTAAACATATTATAAAATATATTATTTATCTACTACGCAGTCTTTGGTGTATGCTAGTAATATTTTATAGTCAGTGTTGGAAGTATTTGCGATGGCTTTTTTCAAAAAGAAGCTTAATGAAATGAACGGCTTTGTGGCTTGGGCGTCCATATGGTGAAAAAGCAAATTTGTACCTTTGCCTACTACAATAACAATTCCGAATAATATTGTTGTTCTAGATATTTTCTATTATGTTACAGTTATGTGGAAAATGTAAAAATGTTGAGGCTAGCTAAAGTTTAATTATTTATTTGTTTCGATTACATAATATTTTAAACGTTAATAATCAAAAACGAGAAACAGTGCATCAGTTACCACTCAGCAAAGCCTTTCTTTAATAATTGCATATAACTGCATACAAAAAAACTAAACAACCAAGTGACTTGGACATTAACTGGGCATTCAGCATTGCTGAAACCTATGAAAATGGCCTTTCTTCAATTTTTGTAGTAAAAATTGCTAGGGTTTGCTTTTTTAAATAAGTTTTAAATAAATAAATAAAGTGTTTAAATAAAATTACTGTTTTAAATGCAAATGAAATATTTAAGATTATTTTTATGTTGAGCATATTCTTATCTTTATTCCTGGATTTCGAATGTTTACGTGAGTCTATAATTTTACATTTTTAATCTGAGACCCAGTTTTGAGTTGGATTTGATGAATCCATATAATAAGGATATTTTAATACAATATAATATACTATAATGGTGTAGGTGAACAAAAACCGCATCATCATAAAAATTTGTAAAAAACCCGCATTTTTACATATAGGCGCCCATGTTCTATGGCGATTATTTATGTAAATATTTACATTCCAAATCACATTAATTTTAGGTCACAAAATCTATGAAAGAAAAGTTACTAAATCCTAGATGATCACATACAAAGGCGGTCACACAATTGAAAAATTATTTTCATTTTTGCCTGTTAATTACAGAAATACAGGACTCTTACTGGACCCATTAGCGCAATTAACCATTTTCTGTACAATGCAACAAAATTTAACAACAAAATAACACTAACACTAAAGCTTCTTCTTTTATTATTGAATAAAAATTAATGCAAAAGTAGTTATTATGCAGGCCCATGTGGTTTTGACTATCAACGAACCTGAAAATATTAACGGTTTAATCAACAAGTCTTAAGTTCTAAAACTTAAAGAACTAAGGTTTGGTTCAATTGCTTAAGACAATATTATAATTACGAAACCAAAACTCACCATTCTAGTTTTTGATAAACGAATAATGTAAAAAATGAGTTGTATTTAACTTTAGTAAAGTTTCAAAATTAAAAAGAGTTATTTAAATCATCTTCTGCTGTTGATAATATTTACCTAGGCTAAAGTTGTCACAGGAAAGAAACCAAAACATTAAATATAATTAATAATACCTGTAGTATTTGCTGCGGTTGATCCAATAACAGACGATGGCCAAGGCTGTGGCCTAACATCATCAATATACCGTACGTTCTCACTTTTATACAAGTTGAATAACGTACTGATGCACTGGACTTTAATAGCGCCACTCTGAAAAGTAAACAGCTGTAATGTATGGCTCTAGGGCTATTTATATTCGTTATTTTAATACATTTGATACTTCGCATTAATGTGGCTCTAATATAAGCTTTGAAAGAGTTCAATAATCTGTAATCTTTCTAAACTCTGAATTTGTATATGTTATTGATTGTCCTATTATGCAAGCATAGGAACACCGTAAATAGATTAACGCAAAGTTATTAGAACAGCAAGAAAAATTATTATGTTAGAATTATTAGTTAAATGCACATATGGTTGTTGGAGTTGTGCAAATTTTAGAACCACGTATTGAAGCAATTTTAGGATAAAATATTTGAAATTCAACCCAGTTGTCGAGTTATAAACTTTTTAATTTTGTGGTCAATTCCTACGAGAAGTGCAATTTCATCCGAAAATCCGGATTTTTTCATATTGGACTCATAGTTGACATTCAGTTCCACTTCGGACTACACGTTCAGTGTTTTTTTTTTGTTTTTTAAATTCCGTCTATTGCAAGGAAATATTTGCATGCAGAAATGCAGCAAATAACGGGAAATGGATTTTAAAATTTTCATATTCTAGCGGATTTCTAGCAGTATTTCTCATTCACTTGATTTGAATCAAAGATTATGGTAAATTTTTTCGGGACTGGGTTGTCTAAAAAATAATAAAAATACTGAATTCGATTCATTCAAATTCAAATTCTTTAATCGTTCCAAGAATGGCACAGAATTATAGATACCCTGCCTTATTTGAGAAACCACAAGACTGACGATTTTTGGAATATATACTATAAACGATGACACCAACGTAACCATAACGGACAAGTTCTTCAAACCAATTTACAATAAAATATTAACAGTCAGCACATCTCGCGAAATTGCTATATTGGGAGACATAAACAGCAGAACAGATAAAAAGTTAAATATTCTGACGGTGGGCCGATTTGGAGAAGAGATTGATAACGACAATGGAAAGCGATTAATTACCGTATGCGAGCCACTAGACTTAAAAATTCAAAAGAACTTTTTCTAACACAGGGAAATACACAGATACACCTGGACCAAACCCTCCCATAATCGCAAATCAGTAATTGACTATCAAACAAACAAAAGACGAAACGAAAAATTCAAAAGGTCAGAGCAGAAACGGACCAACATGCGGAAGTAATCACTATTTTCTGGAAGCGAAAATTCTATTTCATTATCAGTTATCAAGGTCAAAAGCTTCACTAACATCGGCTGAGGGACATACGAATAGAAGAAATTGATTACTGTATATACAACCTACTAAGCCCAGAGCATGACAGCGTAAAAAGCCTACGTAAAAAACGACTTAACGAAAAACTCAAGGCACGTTCCGACGAAAACCCAAATGAAAGGTATGGCATTAYATCAAGTGGCAAAAGAAGCRYTAGGYTTGGTAAAAGAAAAATCGAAGTAAAGAAAGCCCTATTGGCGGCGTGCTGAGAAATAGAGGAAAAGAGAAAACTCTACCACATTTACTTAAGAATCTCAAAACACATGAATGCCAGACAAAAATCAAATGTAGAAAAATGATTAGTGACAAGAAAAATRTAACATGGACGCAAAWGTGCCAGAAAAAGATTCTTATTTAGGAGGCCGAAGAAGTACCGAAAGTTGGAAGATGATAAAATCAATTAGAAAAGAAWAGACCAGAGAGATAATTTCGCCAATATCAGACAAYGAATGGGATGCACACTTTAAAAARCTTTTAACGGAAGAAAGARTGGAATTTCAAGAAGAATAAATAAATGATGCCTTTAGAACGATASAATCTCCAATRGGTACCGTTAACACTTCCTGAAGTTAAAAACGTATGCACAGCCTTAAAARGCGGAAAATCTGCCGGACCCGGAAATATACCAACTGAACTTATTAAATACGGYACTGACGARCTGTTTGTGAGRCTAYGAAATCTATTCCAAAAATATCTAAACAGAACCAAAASASAATCGAGTGGAAAACATCATATATATCCACAATTCGCAAAAAAKGAAAGAMATATAAGTGCGACAATTATAGATGCATATCTGTGACTAGTACGCTGAGCAGAATTTACAGTAAAATAATAAGAAATAGAATGGAAAATGAGTACAAAGACATGGAGGCAAAAAACAGGTCGGATTCAGAGCAGGAAAATCGACTGTATTGTATAACGCTGTATAATTGTTCTGTATAACGTAAGCTATCGGAAAGAAAATGGCATACGGGCAAGAGTTGCATTTACTATACGTAGACTAAGAAAAAGTATACGACCGCGTACCACTTAATCTACATTGGAAGGCTTTGCATAATTCAGATATAATCGCTGATTAGTGCAATTGAAGAGTTGTACAACAATAGTGAAGCAAAAGTCAACATAAAACAAAGGCTAACAAGAGGGTTTCAGCTGAATAAAGATAGTCAACAGGGTTGCTATATCTCGCCAACGCTCTTGAAGACTTACTTGAAACCAATCCTTAAAGTATGAGAAAGAAAATACCAAAGCATGGGAATTCCATTAAATGAAATCATTTTATACACCTTCTGTTTCGCCGACGATCATATTGTAATGGCCCAGGAATATGACGAGTGATAGAATAATACAAAAAGTGCGGTTTGGAGGTCAATATAAAAAAGACTGAGTATATGTGCATTGGTGGAACAAAACAGGATTGAGTGTTAAATACGGGACAACGAATTAAGTCTTGTGAGGAGTATAAATAGTTAATTAATAATTAGTGAAAACAACAGCGGGCAGAGCTATAAAAGAGCGAAATTTACAAGGAAGAAAAACGATAACTTGAATAAATGGAATACTCTGGGACCAGATCATATCGAAACAGAACCCAAAGCTCATATACATATGTCACCATCGTAAAGAGTATTGTTACGTAAAGTGCAGAAGTCTGGCCTATCAAAGACGGAACAAAAAAATGCTGCACGCTACAGAAATCGACTATTAGAGAAGAGCAGCAGGAAGATCAAAGAGAGAACCCGTTACAAATCAACGAACAAAAGAATTTGTGACAGTAGGACAATGCGATATTGGACGAATAAAACAACTGGTATGATACGGGCATGTGCAGAGAATGGATAACGAAAGACTACCTAAACAAATACTGAAACGGAATCCAAATGGGTGAAGAAGGGGCGGAAGACCACGGAGGACCTGGAGACGATGAACGAATAGACAGCGAAATGAGAATTAGGGAACTGGCTGACGATTTATGGGCGAAGTACAGTATTACAGTTTATTTCACGAATATTTTTAAATAAAGTGATGTTTTGCTTACTCCCCTTATTCAGTTGATTTCTAAATGAAAAACTCTCTTTACTGAAAAATTTCATATTTGTGGAATCAGATCCGAAAATAGTTTTGAAACATTTTACCCAAATATATGTATCTATGAGTGTTGATACGAAAGGAAAATGAAAAAATGGATCAAATAGTTATGAATTAAAAATATACCTATTTAAATCTCCGACAATGGTTGTTTGTGTTATGATTGATTTCAATATTGTAAAAAGTAGCCTTGTTTTAAAATCCTTCAATGACCTGTGTTTATCTTAAAATAACTACTCGTTAAAATCCTGCTTCAAAATACGCAGATTGTCATATATATTTACACAGATTTAGCGAGCTAATTAGCTTTAGCACATTTAGTAAGCAATTGCTTCAAAACGTTCCTGTTATTTGAATAACAGCTTTCACAAGTTCTAGTACCAATTACGAAAAATAAAATTCTATTAATTACCTGGAAAATGTTTTCATCAATTTCCTTCTCCAGATAAGATATCGTCATGTAAGGTGATCGTCGGTTCTTGGAGTACGCATACAGAGGATCTAAGCTCACAGATTTCCTACCGGTTTCCTTCACCTACAAATTCAAATTTCTTGACTAATGAATCTTCAATATGTTAGGGATTATATTAGTTACTACTGGTAAATATTTAAAGTATGACTAAATAAAAATGCAGAAACGATTTAAGAATCCGGTAACGCACAGAGGAATCTTAAGTTGACGATCATATGACGGTTTCTCAAATTTTGGCGATAAAAGTATAAGAAGTTCAAAATATACAGCGAAATTGTTTCTCTCAAATATAAAATATGTCTGCATTATCAAATGCTGGTTTATCAAAATAATAAGGGTTTGGATGTCTGAAAATGTCTCTAGTTTGCCTTCATTTGGCCACCCTGTTTAAAACGATACCTTTATTCCATTGATGTACCATGTCACATTCATTGCTGGATAGGATGGAGGTGTAGTGCAGTTTGCTCTTATCACGTTGGTATGTCCACTTTGATCTTTGTTAATATCCATAATTGGGTCTTCCTCAGGTACGTCTGTATATGTAAATTGTAATGATCAATTGGAAATATGATGCGAGGTATGTCGGAATAGATCGGAATGTTAAGAAAACTGCAGCTTACCTACTACATATAAAAATGCAGAGCTCGCTGTTGTGTAGAAATTAGGGGCATCTGTTGATACTTCGCATTTATAACGCCCTGTGGCCTCCTGCTCGACATCCAGCAATACAATCTCATTCAAGGAACTTCTGCTTAGCTGAAATCACGGAAATGATCAAGTCGTACGTTAAGGACTGTGTCCAAATAAATTGGTTCGCCGAATATCTAGAAACTTACATCAACCTGTATGTTTGAAACCGGAAATATTTGCATTTTTGGGTCCTCGTTGGGTACGTACCGGAAAAACTCCATTGGACCCTTGTACCATTTGACGGTATAAAGTGGCTCACCTTCCAAATCGAATTCACACCGGAAGATTAAGGAATCGTGTAATTTGGCTGCTTGTGGGATTAACGCTTGTACATTACGCAATGACCGAACATCTGAAACAAAAGTTGAATTGGAAACATCAAACGATAAGTTCATTTTTGCGTTTGTATGGAAATTTAATAAAACATTTGGAAAGATAAACTGGAAAATATTCTCACAAATCAGAAAATATTGTACACAATTATTTGTATTTAATATAACTTAATTATAGATTACCTAATTTTGATAATACATCGGCTGGCTAGAAATTGCTGGAGTTCTATTTTGCATAATGTTCTCGGTTTGCTTATTTTCTTATTAGTTAATTTCATATTTCAATTTTAGAGGCCTATGATCAACATGATCAATGCGATATAGGGTGTCACAGGGTGTCACCTGACAAAACGTCGACAGATAAAACTATAGCAGCTTTTCTAGAGTTTATTCTGATGCAAAGTTTAAATCAACTGTATGTCGATAAACTTGTCTCTACTAAACTGCTCAACAAAATCAACGTTACATTGATAAATTCTAATTCTGGAACTGGATAAGCTCTGACTCCTTAGAGCAAATTGATTTTTGTTTGAAGTATATTTAGTGCAATTCTTTTTCCGTCAGTGCGTGTTTTGCAAAAAACATTTATGAACGTGTCAGTTCGGCGTCCTATCATTATTTTTGTGCTGGTGTTTTTGGTGTGTAACAAGGGAGAAGTGAAGTTGTCAATCGAATAATAATCAATAAATAGAAATTAATAAATCAGTAATCATCCAATCAATCATCTATAAAAAACGACATAAAAAGGCAAGCAGTAATCCTCAGCGCACTAAAGCACAACGGTGTGCAAAACAGTGCCAGAGAAAGTTTCTGCAGGTTGGCAAATAAAATAATGCAAAATTGGTGAAAGTTTCGCGTACTCTAAGTTGGGTAAGAAAACATTTTTTTGTATTTCAACAACACGCATTAAGATAGATATATTAAGATTAGTTTACGCGTTTTTCGCTCATCACGTTTATTTACAGAGTAGTTTTCAAAAAATCAACATTTTGGTCTAGCAGTGACAATTTTTTTCTCTTGAACCCATTTTCAAAACCTGGGACTTGTCTTGAAGCTAAAACTTTACAGTACACTTGAAGTTGCATGAATCAACCAACTAATTGAAAGTAATTTTCAATTAGTGAAAAATCTTTCAGAATGAGAGATTTCTCGATAATTCTGGTTTGGGTAATTCTTTGTGCAACCTTGTATATCGCATTTTCGCTTTAAATCGTTTATGAAGTTTAAGCTTGTTGTTTGGTTGTTTAAGCATGGTGACATCAGCTCTAGATCGTGAAACTCGCACCAAGACCAGAAAAGCTATCGCTGCGAAATGAAAAAGTTGTTTTTTTGAGACATACCTGTAAATAGAACAGATTGCCGAAAAATTCAAAAACCATGTCGAGTTTTTTGGTTTATTTACCTTTACCTTTTTGATGTTTCATGTTAAATTTGTAAATGTTGATCCAAACAAATGTTCTGCGTCGTCAAGCTAGGAGCATGCTGAACTTAATAAATGTTTCATTTTTACCCAAGCATTGACTGGCAAAAAATCAATGGGACTCAATAACACTGAAACCGAAACCAAATCGCTCTAAGTAATCAAAATTTATTTAGTTTCAAAGTTAGGAAAAATTCGGCTCTGAACGTTCATTTTGTTGGACAGAAAGAAAAGCGTAATGATAAACGTTGATATAAATAGATACTTAGATAAAATCAATAAAAATATGATGAAAAATAACAAAAATATAACTACTCGCCAAGAAATGTTGCCACATAATTCAGTTCGAAGCGTATTTCTATTGTTATACACGCGAGGTTTAAGCCAATTCGACCAAAAAAATTTAAAGATGACAAGTCTGGTAAACTCTACTTTGAGGAAAGCTTGAATTAAAAAATGTCGTGGTTTGTCTGTGTCGTGTATGTTTGTTAGGATTTTCAACGGAACAACCTCTAGGAAACTCCGGACACTCTTTATCTAAAAAGTGCAAATAACTTCTGGCCCCAAAAGTTCCTCCAAAGAAGAATATTCGAAAAGTTGGTTACTTAACAGACCGCACCAAAATAAAGTGATTCTACATCACAATAGTATGTAGTATGGGTGTTCATGAATCCAAATATGCTTATTTCGCGTGTTATTAATGCCGTCTTTCGAAAACTGTGACTAGTCCGTAAAAAGTATGTAGAGGATAAGGTCTAAGGTAACTTTCAACCACTAACAATATCGCAGCACATATTTTAAGATTCCAGCAATTAAATGCTGGATCTTTTTCAGTTGATCACTATGAAGAACTCTCCACACTACGATCTAACTAATTTCCGTTGCCAGATATATTTTCGGAATTCTTTCGTTCGATTGCCCTTAAAACCGTCTTTAAAATGCGAAATCGGTTCAATTATTTAATAAAATAATAAATCAGTATACCGAGTTATTGTAACAGCACATGTAGCAACTAGTACCATTTTTATTCGACCATTTTCGATACACCGATCAGAAAGACTCGATATCGAGCGAAAATGCTTTTCTGTAATTACTCATAATCCAAAACTCATAACTTTAAAAAGGTTATAAGCCAAAAGCTCGGCTTTGAAAAAATCGTAGAATTTTAACTTACATATCTCGAGAATCGTTGGCACTGTATTTGGGCATTCGATCATCAATTTTGATCGTTTGTCGAACGTTAAAGGTATGTTAATTCATCGTTTGGTAAACCGGATTAAAAGTGCGCGATTCGCCATACGTAAATTTTCTCAAATTAGATAAACTAAATACACTTTTATTAAAATATCCAATAGACGTATTTTTATACTTCACTATCGCAACGAAATGACACTGAAAAATATTAGCTGTAGATTGACGTTAAATTCTAATATGATTGCACCGATTCCAATTCCAATTCAATAATCGATTTCGAAAGAATGAAAATTGCAAAGCCGATTTGATTGATATTGTTTTCCATTTCGCAGTTTGCCATTATTCGCTTACATTACTGAGATCGTGAGTGAAAATAATAAGGTAATTTTGTAGTTTTTTATTCATTTTCTTCGATATGTATACTGTATAAATGGAAAATTACAGGATAATAATCGAATGTTGCTCTGAAAGTTTTCTATTGTTTCATTGAGATACTTGTAAGTTGATTGTATCATTTTTTGTTGCTATTGAGTTCGGAAACTTAAATTCTAAATGCTGATTATTTTGATGCAGTAAAACATTCTGTTAAAATTTTAATGCTGCTGAAATCGTGCGGTCTTCCTTAAATGCATTAACAATGACGCGAAAGGTAAAAAATGATTTCAACAAACAGCGACTCAGTATAGACAAGTACACCATAATTGTGAAGCGTTTATGTTCAAATTTGTTCCAGTTTGATGTCTTTATTTTATTTTTTTGGCACAGGTATTAGTAAATCCTCTATATGTGATTTTGATCCTCCTATTGATCCAATTTTTCCAGGGAGGTGCGTCAGGGACAACCAGTTATTTTACTGCTTAAAACAAATATATATCGATTTTTTGCGCAGTTTTAGAATTTTTTTCAGGTAAAATAACTGAAACAAAAACCTTTGTTTTATTTGAGAACCTCTATTAATAGTTAAGGCTGTAATAAATTCGTAAAAATAAGGCTGTAATAAACTTTTTTAAGGATATGAATTTGTTTTAGGAAGCGGAATTGTTGCGTCAAAAATAAGTAATGTTTTAGAACATTACGAAGTGAAAATATTGATGTATTATTAGATAATTTACTTTAAAAAATTTCAAAAAAATGCCGTTAGTTATTTCCACATAAAATAAAAAAAATTGACTTCTTGTGGAAATATTGTTAGTCCAGTCAGATTAGTCTTTGAAATGCCTGTTTCAGGCATTAAATAGATGAAGGTAAAATATTATTGGAAGTTGTTGGGAAGGATGTCAGAATATTGGGACAATAGTTGGAGCGCGATTTCCGGCTGTGGAACACTGTTTAAATAATCAAAGAAAGTGAGAAAAACCGTTTTTTGAGCATAAGTTTTGAACCGTTCATGCTATTGAAAGAACAGTTTTTCAAATATTAAAAATACCTACAATATAAGACAAACTAAATTAAAATCCGTTCAATTTTTTCCTCAAAAAATAAATAAAAACCGCTGGTTTTAGCTTTTTTGAAATTTTCTATGATTCATTTAGTTTTGCTTAAAAAAAATAGTACAGTAACTTTTTTGCAGGGGTTTTTACACTTTATAAGTGGTATAAACTTTAGCTTCAAATATTCATCACTCTTTGTTCATTTATATTTTGTTATTAAAAAAAGACTCTTGCCGGAGTCTAAATAAGTTTTTTTTGAGTCGTGGGAGCGACTGCTCTGAGGGTCTATTTTACACGTAAAAGTTGTGCTACAATTTACAATAAAGGAAAATTTTATTAATAAAGGTTAAATTGTTTGAACATTAAGTTGAAAATCAGCTTTGCACGTACGTCATGCAAGGTTTTTTTGCTTTTTTATTAAACAATCGAACGAATTTTAATTTAACTAATCTCAAGTTGTATTTTCTATAATTGAAAAAAACTATTAAACTTTTGAAAAAATCATCAAAGGTTCTAAAGATATGCTCAAAAAATGGTTTTCGCATTTTCTTTAATTATTTAAGCAAAGTTCCACCGCTTTCCAAACTATTGTCCCAACATTCTGACATTCTTCCGAACAACTTTCAATAATCTTTTACCTTAATCTACTTAGTGCCGGGAAAAAAATTTAATCATATATTAATTATTTAAGCAATGTTCCACAGCCGGAAATCGCGCTCAAATTATTGTCCCAACATTCTGACATTCTTCCGAACAACTTCCAATAATCTTTTACCTTAATCTACTTAGTGCCGGGAAAAAAATCTAATCCGACTGGACCATGTAGGATAATTCATGTTTTATGCGGGGAATCTTCGCCATGCTGTCAACACATCTACATATCAACACATGTTTATAATCGCGATTATCATTTTCTTTCATAATTATTCGAACAAATTCGAAAATTATATTTTAAATTAAACTTACACCGATCGTG